TCACTTTAGTACTTATTTCTAAGATCCCATTAAGTAGTTAATTTATACCCTCATCTGTTATATATCAGTGATAGGTACTCATTGACAAATTGAGAACAGGATTGCAGATAAGTTGTCGTAAGTTGCACTGACATGTATTAAAATGTAAATAAATCTAATTGAATAAAATCGGACTCCAAATAATACGCAACACATCCGAATCTACGACGGTGAATATTGTTTCGAATGCGGTAGATAATATTATGATCTATTGAGACAGATTTAATGAGCGAACTGGCAACGTCGCTGTTATTTTTTTTGAGGACGCCAAATAGGCGGAATTATAGTCAGAAAATCCCAAAAATATACAGCTGTGGATATACGCGCTACAGCAGCGCTCTAGCCGCGCTGAGATTTCTTTGGGAACTTTTCAAAATACTATAACAGCCATTGAACCGATCTTTTGGGGTCTGTCGATTTTTAACCTACGTGTAGCCAGGACCAAAAGGACCTAAGTAGCATAGACCAAAAAAGTGGCGTCCGGTATGCGGACGCCAAAAGCAGGTGGACGCCAGATTAAATGCACTTTTGCCTTCATGGGACGTCCAATCGATAGCGGGATGTAAATATATATATACATATATGTTATATCTATACAAACATATATATATATATATGTTTGTATAGATTGACGGTTACTTGATGTAAGTCTAGTTGGTTTGTTATCAATTTAAATTATTCAGTAAAATTTAAATGAGTAGTTCAGTAACAAATTGTTTGTTGTGGGGCTTATCCCTGATTTTTAAATCTTCAAATCTTTAAAAGCCTAGCGACGCAATTATAACTAACTCTATTCGGCATCTATGAGTGGCGCTGATCCCTAAACGTCAGCTTGTTTGCTGCCCTTTCCCATAAAAAAGTACTTAATCAAACATGTATGTGAGCACAAATTAGCGTAGGTGCGTAGGTACCTACTAGGTACAGAATATGGTGGGAAAGATCTAAGATATTACAAACATTTTCACGAACTACTTTAGAGTATAAAACTGGTCTGTAAATCTAGCAACACCTTCAAATCTAGAGTTCCCATCCTAAAAATCTTTGTTACATCTGTGTGTTGTTAAAACTAAAAAACAAAATCTTCAATATTTAAAGTTTCATTTTTTTATGACATGACGATGGCAAAAAGCACACGGTTAGCGGGCATTGTGGCTTATACTACACTTGCAACACTTGGGGCATTACATGCGTCTTGCAGACACTTAAAAACCCATTTGCTCCCTTCTTGAAGAGCCCCGTGTTTTAGCCTACTGGTAAAGCCTCGGCAGGGAGTTTCACTTATCTGCTACTACAAAAATACTGTTAAAATACAATAATTTTACATACAGCTTAGTCATTTGGCCGTTCTATCTCCCGCCGCCGTCTTGGAAAAATGGCGTCCTAAAACTGTTATGAAATAAAAAAAATATGAAAAGCCATAGTTTCTAATCTCATCATCTTCAACAGCCTGTCAGTGCCCGTGGTAGTCCACAGCTGGCTGTAGAATGCATTTGTGTCAGCTTTGAGTTGTCATGCTCACTCAAGTCTCATTGGCAGTGGCACGGGCAGTGATTGCTCATTTCCCTACAATACGATTGAGTTGAGCGGTGCTGGTGTACTTGTCATGTGAACTCAACTGGGACTGGTCAGCTTCAGACTGCACTTTATTGTCCTCAAGGTTATTTTATTTTCTTCTTTTTAAACTTATTTTTAACGTTGTAATGGGGTAGACGACTAATTTTTATTTTAATGTCTGTCTGGTAGATTATTTAAAAACATTAGACACGTATTTTTTATTTTCTTACGGAAACGAATAGTTTCGAAGATATTATATTGATTTGAAATGTCGCGTGACGTCACTTCTCAGTACATTTTATTTGATTTTATACTAAGAAATGACGTTTTAGCCCCCACTCCTAAACTTTGATTCGTTTTATCTAAGTATTGTTTTAATAAAACACAACAAAATAAAAAAATACGTGTCTAATATTTTTTTATTACCTAAGTTACGGACTAATTATATTTTTAATTTTCATACCCTGTCATCATCCCCATTGAACCAACGAAACAATGTAACCAGCAATTGTCTTGTGAACCTGATTGAAAAAAAGTAACATATGAAGTTCTTCTGCATAGGAATCTACATCTTGGAACGAGCAAATAGTTTCATTAGAGGATTGTGGGCTTACTCTTGAACCCAATTCCGATCGATCAACATTGATATTGTGAAATTTCGTACTCTTGAGTTGCAACACTAGCGCCCATTGTATCCGTATTGCGTGGGTATTTAATGAACTAAATGGTATTGAGTTTGATTTTATATTCCGTACTTTGAATGCTATTTTTATAGCTACAATTGGGGTTGTATAGGTTTGACACTGAATAATTATTGAAGTTTCATTGGATTGCAATTGCATTGACTTTGAGATTGGTTTCAAGAGTACCTACCTAAGCACCCTGACTGACAGACTGACCTTTTTTCTTTAATATTTAAATACTTTGATTTGACGTTCAAAGCCTTCATGGTCTAATTGAAATAAATGATTTTGACTTTGACTTTGGAGTATGGCCTCCTCTATAAGAGGGGGGACTGGCCATGGCCATAATTTCAAGCAACTTAGCCAGTCGGTTAAAGTATTGCAGTTGCAGTTAAGAAATATAAGGTTTTATTACAGAGGTTTGCTGCTCGGTCTTAGGTTAATATATAATTCCTTAATCGGATTTTACGACACTAGCGGGAGGCGAGCGGCGGTGAGAAATGTATTCTACTCGGCATCACCAAACGGCGATTTTCTTCACCTATTCGTAGTTGTTTCATTTCGTTCATTGTTTTTCTTCTCTCATTTTATTATATAAGAAGTGCGACTGCTGGGCAAGGGGTCTCGGGTTTGATTCTCGGGTTTGGCAAATTATTACTGGATTTAAAAAAATCTCAGAATAAGGAATGGAGTCTGGAATTGTGCCCGATATAAGGCAATAGGCTCACCCCCTATTACATGGGACTCATAACATAAATAGTAAAAAGTGGCTGTCACAACGTACAGTGCCGTAATGTGCACCTCTATCTTTCCCTTCGGGGATAAAAGGCGTGATGTTATGCTGCGATATCTGTTCCTCGTAAAATAACCAGGAAAGACTTCCTCAAACTCTACAAAACCAAAACCCAAAGGTTTTTTTAGGCGGGAAAATCATCGAATGCTCCCTTCTGGGTGAGGCGGGAGGGAGTGTCAGACTCTTAATGACTAAAAACCACCCCGTTCCTTCTCCTGCATGTCGAGCCGGAGCCCCGGTTACCCGTTAGGTTCTCCGCGACTCCGAATCGGCATCGGCCCTGTTGGGCCCCATCTGTGGTGGTCTGATGGCTCATTGAGGCGCGCGCGGAACGCGACGCGCCGTACGCTCGGGTCAGTTTCTGGTCGGACGGGGAGCCACCGATGCTCGCCGTCCGCAGGCCCGCGCTTACGTTGGCCGGAGATCGTCCCGCGATCCCCGACGCCCGTTGTGTCCTTCGCGATGGCTGTTGCGAGGAGGCAGTGCTTCGCTGCCTCAAGCGTCCCGCCTCCTCCTTAGCTAGCATAACTGCTTCGCAAAAGGAGGAGACGGTATCCCAGTCCCCCTCGCAAAACCCATAGGTTGGAAAATGAAGATACATACTTTTTTAAACGAGTAACGAATGGAGTTTCTTGCTCGTTCTTCTCCATTCGAATCTACGTTTTGGAATTAGCACCTAGCTTCACCTAATTTCACTGACGGATTGACTGACAGACTATAATTTATTTTGTATTTGTTGACGTTTCAAAACTACCAAACTATGGTTTAATTGAAATAAATGCTTTGACTTTGACTTTGACTTTGACTAAGAAACTTTCCTCAATCCCGAGATCGAACCCAAGACTGATTTTTGGTAATCGCACTGCCGTGCCAGAGATGTAGATTTACTTGTTATATAGCTTTAACTCGTTGAGTACCATCATTATAGACACAATTAAAGAACAATAGGTTGCGGTCACCAGTATCCTCGCGGTGTTTGACAGTTTAAGCTGTGCATGTGATATTTTTTGCTCAGTTAATAAACTTGTACCTTAATTGTAAATTGTAATAAAAATGATCGCTTACGACGACAGCTTTCAGTGACTGCGGGAGTGAAATGCGTGTGACACCCCACCAGGGGGCTTAAGTACTTTTGAATCCAATTCCTATCGATCGTCATTGGTATTGTGAAATTTCGTACACTTGAGTTGTTTCACGAGCGCCCATTGCATTCGTATTGCGTACATATTGAATGAACTAAATGGTTGGCTATGGAATTTGGTTTTACATTCTCCACATTTAAAAAATATTCAACACAATACTCATACCTCTTATGTGCTTTACTTACTTACCTATTCTGGGTTTATTTGGGACACAGGTTGAGAAAGAAAGAAAATATGATTTATAATTTCGTAAATATATATATTTAATTTTATATCTTCCATCAATACATACAACGACACTTATACATTCAGAAATTTGGCCGTAACTACTTTAGGTCTCACTTACAATGGCTTCGCTTACAAGTAAACGTGTAGATATATTTATTAGCACAAAAATGGGAGCAAAACACAATTATATTAGACTGTAGTCTTTAATACAAGTAGATACAGACCTATGTGAACTGGAGTCAGACCAAAAGAATTGTTAATACGGGGAAGACATCGTTTTACATTTGTGTTACATTTAAAATCGAGTGAACAGCACCGTGTGAAAGTACCAAGACAAAAGTTTCACAAATTCTAACCTACCAACCGCATTGCACGACACGAAACAAGTATCATATTGATGGAGGAGAGATATTTTACAAAATAAAACTTATCGACATATCTTCGGTGTACGCTAGGAGCTATAAAAATTGAAAATAATACAACTAATTTAATTTCATAACTAGTAAGACATTACAATCCCTTACCACGAGATCAGCGACAAGTTGACGTCACCCGGTGTTGGAGCGTTCACGTTAAGTTCATAATACGTTGGACTATTGCGTGTGGAGTTACGGAAACAATCGTCGATAAAACAAGTTAAAATATCATAATCACTTCAAAGCAGACGATGAGAAGTCCCTTTGGTAATTTTGTCATATCCTTACCAATTGGTGGGAATTTAGATTTAATAATCTTTGGACTAAAATCTCTGACAAAAATCGTTTAATGTCCGTCCTCATTCTGACTACTCATTACTTTAATCGCATATTGCAACAATTTGCGAATTAAACATACAACACTTAACAACTACTATAATATAATACCTAATTATTTTATAAAGTAACAAAATTAACTTATATTTACAGTTATCATTAAAATTATAGTAAAATTTTACTATTTTAGCACTAAGTTTTGATTATTTCGCTGAATTCTGTTCTTGTGTATGAGAATTCAAATAAATTGATGTGTCGCAATGTTCGTGGACGCATACTTATCACATTGACTCGATACATATAGAGAATAACATAAAGTGCTCCGTAATACTGCACTGCGCATGCGTTGCGCGCTACGTGCGTCGTGCGTCGTGCGTCCAGTACAATCCAAACGAATGTTTGCGAACCCAAAAATGAACGAACAAGTTTCTATAAGGCACCATTGGTTACTGGGTACAAAGTATATGAATGTAATATATAAAGTGAACAATAACATAGGACTCTTCCGTGTTAGCCTTCATTAGTTTGTTAATAATATTCCACTGGTGGCTGCATATGAGATCAAATCCATTTTAATATTATGAAGTTCTAAAAATGATTATAAAATCTTAATGATTGTTATAGGCACGGGGCCTTGTTAGCAATTAGCTTTTGAAAACACACTTAGGTAGGTCTGGGGCGGAGTCGCCCGATCTCTTCTTGGAGTCATTGAGTACGACGTTGTTCGTACAGCAGTAGAGTGAGACAGTCTGTGTATGCTAGAGATGTGTAGCTAATAGTACGTTGGGTTGGAGGTGTCTGCGAAGGGAGCGATGTGGAGGCGGGCCACGTTCAGTCCTCGTCTTTCTTCTCCATTTTGGGTTCGTACATTGCGTGCAGTTGCTCAGGTGAGATGCTGCAATAGAAAAGTATTGGTTAAAAAAAGTGTAACACAAGTAATTAAAAGAAAAAAAGGATGTGACAAAAGGAAAAACTAACAAAGTTAGACGTTAGAGATACGAGTTAGCAAAGAATATCTAATTATATTGTCCTTTCAATGAAATTTTAGGTAAACCTATCAAAACAAAGTGCAAGTCCATCACAATTAGACTTCAAGAAATTGAGAAGTGCAATATAGTTCAATTTGTTCCTTTCATTCATCTCTTTCGCTGGCATCCTTGCATCATTCTGCCGCGACGTGTATAAGTGGAATTTACCCTAACAAGCTCTGCAGGTCACACACGAAGCGGTACACGTAACGTTTGCCAGCCGTCTTGTGGATGATGTTCTTGTCGTAGTAGTAGCGCAGCCCACGGGACAGTTTCTCATAGTTCATCTTCGGCTTATTTTTGCGGATGCCCCAACGCCGAGCCACCTGGAAAATAGATTCATTATTAGCATTAGAAGAGAAAAGGTCACCAAATACCTACGCTACGTAAGTTATCTTCTTGCTTGGAAAATACTGAGAAGATTATAGTTGGTTTTGGAGCAGAATTCACGCTTCTCTAAAGGGCTAGTAAGGTTTTATCTTAGAAAGTTCTTTCAAAGGAAAATACTTTGATCTCATATCGTATTTTACTCATACTATTTGATTTTAGTAGTAGCACGGAGTCTGGAATTGTGCCCGGTATATGGCAATAGGCTCATCCCCTATTATATGGGACTCATAACATAAATTGTGAAAAGTGGGTGTTTCATTGCACGATGGCAATGTGCACCTCTGCCTACCCCTTCGGGGATAAAAAGGCGTGATGTTATGTTATTTGATTCTACAGTCACTACAGTCGGACTTTCAGTTACACTCATACGTTTCACAAAATTAAAATTAAGACATCTTACCTCATCAGGGTCGGTAAGTTTGAACTCCCAGCCGTCGCCGGTCCACGAGATGAATCCCTGGCAACTCTTGTCAGTCAGCAGCTCCAGCAAGAACTGCCACAGTTGTATCGGCCCTGATCCTGCAAACGTGACACACAGTTGCTTTACGATATACGACTGGTGAGGGCTATAGATAAGACGGAAAAGAGGTTTGGTAACATTTGAAAGATTTAATGTTTTTTTAAGAATGGTACTGGATAAATAATGTATGGTAAAGTAATTGTTGTCTCAGTAAAATACTGGAATATTTAGACAGGTATGTTCCATTCTCCAAGGTGATAAAGAGTCTAAGTTGCCAAATGGTGTGGAAAATCCTCTTAAAATATGTTTAAAAAAGACAAATAATAACGTCTTATTTATTACTTGATTCGTAAGTGAACATACCGGTGAAGCAGGGTCCTGTGGCAGGGTACGGGAGTTTGTCCTGGGGGATGAGTGCGTGCTGGTCGGCAGGCCACTCGTTCCACTCCGCGCATGCGCCACCGTACTCTTGTACGTAGCTTTCGCCATAACCTTCGCCACCATATCGGCCGCCAGCGCCTGCGCAAATAAAATATACAATTATAATAAGATTTATGAAGATGAAAAAATCGTGTGTCGGTTTTAAAGATTATTTTCAGACTAAATAAACACCATTTTAAAAAGAAATCGAGATATAATGAACAGTTTGTCGGATCACCAATTAGTGCAGTCCAGCGACGGTGACAGGCAACAAAGTAATATGATCACAGCTAAATAATAACCACATGAAAGGTCCGATTCAGTTTAACGACACGACGCTGTTGAAACAGTACACCGGACCACATCAATTAAAGTGACCACGTCACTTGTCTTCCGATCTCTCATAACGAGATAATGTCCATGTTTGTTTTTAATTACGGTTGCGTGATTTTATCACTGTGCTCTTTTAAACTTTATTTACTGAGTGCAAAATTTTGCGATTCAAAACAGCACAATGTAAGAGCTCTTGATATTATAAGAAACTTGCGAAACTGTCGTGGATTATAGTTTAGAGATGAAGAGATGTCTATATAAGAGTATATTCGAAATCTGAACCTACCTCTTGGATAAGGCTTGCTGTAGGCATGGGGCTGGTATTTGGGCTCGTGTGTGAGTAACGGCTGGGAGTGCGCGTGCGCATGGTGGTAGTATTCGTCGATGTAGGGCTGCGCAGGGGGCGCAGGGGGGCCGGGCGGGTACTCTGGGGGGTAGTACTCGTCGAGGGGGGAACCCGCTGTTGGCGCGGGTGCAGCTCCACCGCTCGGTTCCGAGTACCCGTAGGCGTTCGTCTCGCGAGGACCGCCAGTAGTGTAGCCGCCTGTAACAAATGTCAACATTATTAACATGTAATATACAATGACTATTTTTAAAGTTAAAATACTTTTAAAAATAACCTCAAAGCTTAAAAAAGATCAGAATAAAGGCATTTTGTAAGTATCATTAGTATTGTGCTACGTAATTTACTATTATAATTGCTACGAGGGCTACGAGGTGCTACGAAAACGACTTTGCAAGGAAAATACTCGAATATCACTAGAATATGTCCTAAAAACGATTGGCATTATACATAACTGGTTTGTAGCGGCTCTGTTATATCAGTCAGACAAAATTTCCATGAAAAAAATCAGTACGGCATGCATATCGAGGCGTGTTGGCGGGCACGGGGTACCGAAGCGCATCGGTCGCGGTTCACGGCTCGCCCTTTGTTCTGCGCGTGCGCTGGCGACGCGACGGACCCACACGTACCCTCCCCCGTCCCCCTGACCCACCCCGCACACTTCTCGACACCCTCGCACATAGTCACGATATCACACCGACCGATTGAATTGAAGTTTGATTTAATTTGCAAATGATTATTGGACTAGGAAATTGTTTATCGAGGAAAGTGAGTACCTACCTGCTGTTTGTATATTGAGTTTATAGACAAAGGTAATTAATGGTATGTGTTATTACCAAATAACGAATAGCTAATTAATGTATTTCTAGGCTAGATTATCTATACGCTAGTTGATCTTAACTTACAAAAAAAACAAAAATCGTTTATGTGCAAAAACAGATTACGGAATTTATAAATTGAGATTGGAGCCTCCTTTTAAGCAAGATATTCCTGTGTGAGACTCCGCTCTTTCACGACAGGACGTAAATAACAAACTTCTATAAATACAAGAATAGTTTATTCTAATTAAATTTCTAAGTTTTAATTTATTAAAAGTCTAAGATTTACTTACATTTTTAATACCTTATACCATATCGGCTATGCAATCAAAGGTAAGTATGTGGCCACATGAGCAGACGACGATTATGAAGATTCTTTTTCATATACAATTGTGGTTTATGAAAGTTATATATAAACTAAAAAGAGTGGTACTCTAATATTTTTATTTAATAGTTTTATGTTTTATTATTAAATGACGAAATGTGTGCCTATCCCTTCGGGGATAAATAATAATAATATAATAATAATAAAACTTTTTATTCAGATAACAATGATCCAATTGGTTAGTATTACAAAACTTACGACTAGTGTTAGTATAACTTAATCTATACGACCCCTGCCCGATCCATGACTGGAGGTATCAATACCTATATGAGTACTGATACATCGACCCATGTACAGACAGTCTAGCCTACTGGCTATCATCCTCAGAACGGTGTTACTACTACCACGCACTCTGCTTAGCATTGACGCGCAACGCTTACGCATAGTGGCGTAGAAGCAATCGATGCGCGTCTCCATAAACATCCGTGATGCACTACAGTGGCGAGGCAGCCGCAACACCGCTCTAAGGGCATTATTATATTGTACCCGTAGGGCACTGTACGCCCCCGCAGTATAGACGGCCCATAGGCTGCAGGTGTAAAAAGACGTACAATAGGCTCGAAATAGTGTGATTTTAACATCCCTGGTACATCGCGCAAACCTGCGAGCAATCATGTTTGCTCTGACGGACAGCGCCCTACGTTCACGCTCGATATCCATGTCGTCTCTAAGGTCCTCGGTGATTACATGCCCTAGGTACTTGAAGTAGGGTACTCTAGTTAGTTCTTCTCCATTCAAATTTATAGGGGGTACGCTATCAGGGCATCTAGTACCAGCCCTAAAAACGACATACACGCTTTTCTTAGTGTTATAAATTAACCCGTGCTCAATTGCATAACTTTCACATATTTTTAAAAGTTTTCTAATGCCACAAACTGAAGCGCTCAGCAATACCATATCATCTGCATAGCTAAAATTATTAACACAAATACCATCTATGTGACAACCGACACGTTGGCTGCTGAGCTCCTGAATCAAGGCATTTATATACAAATTAAACAGCCGAGGCGAGGTCAAACCTCCCTGCCTCACGCCACATTCTAATTTATATGGATCTGAGAGTGTGCCTGCCCACCTCACACTATTAGTTTGATTACTATACCAATACTTCAAAATGTTTACAAGTTGAGAAGATACACCTACTTCTTGTAATTTTTTCCACAGAATATCATAGGAGACCAGATCAAAAGCTTTGCTTAAATCAAGGAAGCAGGCATACACTGGTGTACCCCTTTGTGTATAGTACCTGACAGCGTGTTTGAGGCACAATATGGCGCTCTCCGTCGACAATTCTGGTTTAAAACCAAATTGATTATCGTGGAGTGCTATAGATTTGGCCAATTGCGCGTCCAACACGCTGTCAAGCACCTTAGCCATCACAGTCGCCAAGGATATCGGCCTATAATTATTCTTGTCAGCGTTGTCTCCAGTTTTATTTTTGATTATGGGCACCACAATGGTGTTCATTAACTGTTCAGGCAGGTGAGAGTGGCTTAGGCACAACGTGTAAAACATAGCTAGCACACGAGCAATGTGAGGCCCCGCATATTGCAGATGCTCAATACTAAGCCCATCATGGCCAGGAGATTTTCCTCTTCTCAATAGGCGAATAGCTATGGCCACACTTTTTGCCGAAATCTTAAGGTTCGATTCTGCACCTTGGGACCCAGTACTGAGCATCGACATTGACGGACCAAGTGGCGACCTAACAAAGAAATGCTCCCTAAAAACATTTGCTATATTTCGAGGGTCAGAGTGACCTGCAACACTAATGGGGAGGCCAGGCCTACTATTCAGTTTCTTAGTATCTTTCCAAAAACTGGAAAAATTCTTATAATTTTATAATAAAAAGGCGAGATGTTATGTAATAGTTTTAGTGTAATCGAAATTCTTTAAAAGACAAGTTCGACTTTTCAACTCGCAATTAACACTGGCGAGCAATTTTTCGTATAAGTAGGAAAACACAGATAACTAAAAAAAAATTACAATAAAACGTATCGAAATTATTAACATCCCTATTCACGCAGTCCGCGATTGAAACGTTTAACAATAGAGTATGTACCAACACACATAGCAAGTCTGTGATTGTGTGTGTGTATGTGTGTGTGCGGGGTCAGCAGTCGCATTGTCAGCCGTTTGACCGATGTATCACATCTCGTTTGTAGATCACAAGTGGGATCATTGATGCTGGTGTTCAGTCAGGGAGCTATCATTCATATTAACTCGATGTCATTGATGAATGCAAGCTTTAAGGATGTTATTGTTTTGTACGAGTTTTTGTATCGTAGGTGAATATTAAAAATATACGAAGTTCCTACAATTTTCCTGTTTACGTTCCCATTCACTTTATGTAAGAACAACAGTACATATTTTATTTACGATTCTATCTTATGATAAAATCTATTTGGTCTTGTATCAGAATTTAGTACTAGGCATATCTCGTCACATAGGATGCTTATAAATGAAAAATAAAATGTAATTGATTAAAAAACAATAGGTAGCACGTGTGCAACTAAGTTCATAGAAGGGCTTATCAATCCATTCATCAAAACTTGAGAATAAACCTTATAACGGTGAACATAAAGGTGTTACTTAAAAAGCTGGTCATGGATGGTTGGTCTTGGTTTTCAAATGTACTGATATTGTGGTCAATGGCCAGTGCTTCAACAAAGTGTGACCATATCACTCTCGTTATAAATGTGGACTACTTTTTTATACGAGTTCTATATTTAAAAAGTTGTTTGTGTCCAGTAACGAAGTGAGTTAAAGCTGTTACCGATCGGATCTAGACCTGGATTATACTTCCGAAGACTCGATTTTTATTACATTGACGAAATTGGTCCTTTTTGTTCAGTATTCGTAAATAGGCGGATCAAATTCCGCCAGTGCTACGTAGTGCTACGTTGAGCTACATCGCGCTACGCCATAGTATGTCGAGCTACATCGCGAAAAAATAGTCAAATATTAGGCAAAGTCAAGTCAATTTTTTTTTAAGAAAAGTGGTTTGTTTTTCTATCATAGAAACGTAACTTTCAAAAGATTGACATTAAAAAGACGATATTCGAATGTTCAAAATGTTCCATTTAGTTTCAATAGATACACTCTGAATTGACAACAAACGTTTTCAGTGTGAACACTTAATTATCCTTGTAAGGTTAAAGTTGAAACTAAAAGTAGAAATAGATGTTTTTTAACGAAACAAATGATGCGACAGGCAGAGACAAGAATCGTGTAAACAAATCACGGCGTGTCAGAGACAAAATACAAAGAATTTTAATGAAGCAATTGTTGCCGGGAACGTGGCAAAGGAATTAATCTATAAATCCTTCTTGGAAGGCAAACAGCCCTCTTGGGAATGACCTTTGTGACCTTGTTGACTTTTTTCGGAATGGCTTTCTGTTTGTATTTTTATGTTTATTTAATGTATTTGTGAGTTAACGAACAAAGTGGAGTATGATTAAATTAGATGGCGACGACTTAGGAACGTTAGGGTTTTTGAATTTTGTTAAGCAGAACAACTGCGGCTATAGTTAAATAGGTGCATAGGTCATACTATTATCTCAAGTCTTTACACTTAAGCATAAATTAAATTTTTGCTACTCATTATGCTCCTTAACACATGTAAACAACTTTTAAGATAAATTCAAGATATCAGACCATTTAATCAACCACTTAGGTACAAGCTTTCAACATCTAGAATGATCAGTAACACAAACATCCGCTAAAGAACCTTCTTTCTGTAGAGGTCGACTGACAAAAATCAAAGTCGTTCATCGATTCATTTATAAAAATGTAAGAAAAGTGCGCGTCAGTCACAGCATCACAGTCGAGAGAGATCGAGTAGTGGGGCGTGGAGGGGGGCGCCGGGGCGAGCCAATCGGGCGCGGCCACGCCCCGCGCGCCAACGCTCGGGTCGAAAGGTCGCCGCTCCACAGCGCCATTGGCTCGCCACGCAGATCAATTTCAAATAGAAACAAAATGTAAGATCAACTGAGACT